AGGGAGGAGGGAGGAGGGAGGAGGAGAGGAGGGGAGGAAGGAGGAGGAGGAGGAGGAGAAGGAGGAGGAGGAGGGGAGGGGGAGGGAGAAGGAGGAGGAGGAGGGGAGGAGGAGGAGGAGGAGGAGAGGAGGAGGAGGAGGCGGAGGAGGAGGAGGAGGAGGAGGAGGGAGGAGGAGGAAGGAGGAGGAGGAGGAGGAGGAGGAGGAGGGAGGAGGAGGAGGAGAGGAGGAGAGGAGGAGGAGGAGGAGGAGGAGGAGGGGAGGAGGATGAGGAGGAGGAGGGAGGAGGAGGAGTAGGAGGAGGAGGAGGAGGAGGGGGAGGAGGAGGGAGGAGGGGGGGGGGGGGCCTGGCCTGGAAGCACCTCTAGGCCCCCCGGCAGCGTCGGATATCTCAGGGTTTGGGCGGGGCTCGGTGTCGGTGTCGCCGTGAGCGCTGGTCCGTCCAGGACGAGCGTCGCCTGTCTTGCAGTGGCGGCTGCCGGCTTGCGAACCTGAGGTCCTTCAAGCAGTGGCGAAGCGTCTTGGCTCGCCTATAGCCCTACAAAAGAATGTTCTAAGAACCTTTTGTGGTTTCCACGAAATGTTCTTAGAACATTTCTGGCGGAGTCCGTCTTGTTTTATCGCATCGGGTTTAATGTTCTAAGAACCTTGTTTTTGTTATTAAAACATGTTGGGGTTCTAGGAACATTTCGCGGTAGGACTATCGGAATGCTGGGACGGTCGGTACCTGCTCAAGTTTTTGCGCGATCGACTCCGAGTGATTCTAACCTTAGGTCGGGCCTGTCCCCCTACAGGGGGATTTGGAGCGAAAAATGAAAATACTCCCAAAACATTCCCCGAGTGCTCGAAAGTGGCAAAAGATCAGTCCCCAGAGTATTTTATAGTTTTCGAATATTCCTCCTGCAGAGGGACCGTTCCGACTTCACGATAACCCATGCCGACATTCCTGGCCCCCTCGCCGGATGCTGGGCGTGAGCAGGGGCACGGACGCAGCGTCGCTCGTCCAGTCTTGTCTCACCGAGCGCGCTCCACGACTCGCACAGCGCCTACTCGCAAACGCTCGAGAAGCACATGCCCGCTTTGATGTGATTTACCGTAGGTCCCCCCGCGGTGGATCCAGGCCATCTGCGAGTACTTACTTTGCGAGTAGTGGAACGCGCTCGTCTACAGTGGGGGCGCGCATCAAGAAACCATGTGCTGTTCGTCAGGGTATCCTGGGTTTCTTCGCTCCTCGCGCTGCGCGGTGACTCCCCGCAGCCGTTGAAGGAGCTGCTGCGTTCAGGGTGCTCCAGGCTTCCCCTCGGGTGCACGTCGCGCACGGGTTCTCAGGGTTGGGCTTCTTGCGATGGTTTCTTGCGGCCGCGCCCGCACTGTATTGTCTTGGGGTGCGCTCCGGCCAAGCTCTCGACGCGTACCCGATCCCCCGCAGGTCGAGGTCTCGAAGGGCCCCGACGGGGCCTTCGTGGTGCAGCTGGCGAAGAAGGGCGCCGACAAGGCCACCCTGGGCAGGAAGCGTGCTCCTCCTCCTCCTCCTCCTCGTCCTCCTCCTCCTTCCTCCCTCGCTCCCCTCCATCCCTCCCTCCCTCCTCCTCCTCCTTCTCCTCGAGGCCCCGTGGACATTCACTCGATGTCATCTCCTGGGGGTCTCAGTTTCCGAATCCGTGGCCGAAAAACCCGGCCCCATCTGGCACAGTCCCGGCCAATCCCGCTGGATTCGCCTCCACTGGACTCCTTCCTGGGCCCCATCTGGGCTCAACCTCGGGGGCGGCCACGAGGGAGGCCTGGGGGTGAAGATGACAGTTGAGGCTTATAAGTAGGTCGCCCCTGCCAAATCAAGGGTGCTCTTGCGTCCTGTGTTTGGCGACGCATGCCTTCCAAATTCCAGTGGCAACGTGGCCCTCGGAAGGGTCTTGTGTCTTCTCGCGTGTCCTCTTTAATCAGCCTCGACTGTAGGGGGGGCTGGATATCGTTGCTGGGTCCAGAAGATCTCCCTGGATCTCGTGGCCCTTTCATCTCATGTTCAGCATGTCCCCTGGTCCCCCCCCCTCCCCCCCCCCCCCCCAGCCGCTCACTCGTTGTACCCATGCGCACCGGGCGCCCTTCGGCTTAAGTCGGGCATGTCCCCTCTGCAGGAGGAATGTTCAACATAAGGAAACGTACTCTGGTGACGACGTGTCTACTCTCTGGGGCGATTGTCGTGGCATGTTTTGCGTACGTTCGTTTTTTTCTCCCAAAACCGCAGGTCGGAGGGCATGCCCGACCAAACCCTCGGCTGAGGGCGAGGGGGGGGGTGGGAGGCCATGATTTGCGACCCCCCTCGTAGCCCCCCCCCTCCTGAACGGCCCCGGCTCATCAGGCTTAATCCTGGGCCTAATCGGGTCTAGTCCGTCTCGATGGCACTAAAATCGGGCTTCGCACCCCTCGGTCGTTCTCACGAGGACCTCCCAGGAGTTGCCTCCCATGCTGCAGGGCGCCCTCTGCGCGGATGCCCCCCGCGCGCCACGCGTCCATGGGATCGCGCACCCGTGGGCTCTCGCCGCGTTGGTTGCCCAGGTATCTCCGACGCCCTGAGCTCTCCAGAGCGAGGTCGCCCGCAAGTCCTGGCCGGCCCCTTCAGCAGGGCCGGCGCTTCCGCCTGAGTCTCGGGACGATCGAAGTGGGTAGGGAAAGGAGGGGTACGCTGCCCACCAGCAGCTCCTGTTCCTGTTGCACAGGACTCGCTCGCTGTCCGCGCCGCCGCGGACGTTGTCCCCTGAAGACAAACAGCCGCCTGCCCAGCAGCGGCCGCTGTCGGTTTTAGACAACGTTTGTTGTTGGGCACTGTGCCCACTTTCTCCGTGCCCATTCCTCGGAGGTGGACAGACCTCCTACGCTGACAAGTCCATCGAGGAATTGGCCGTTTTCGGTTCGCGAGAGGGCGTCGCGGCCGTCATTTTTGCGGGTCCAGGTCCGTCGGTTTCGGTCCCAGGCCGCTTTCATTACGGGGAGGTTTACTAAAGGGAGGTTTGTCCACCGCCGAATGTCGGGCGTCCAAAGAGTCGCTCCTCGGGTGCCTGTCCAGAGGGGGCAGGACCAGCCACGCGCAGAGGGGGGCAGGGGGAGGGGGAAAGGCATCTTAGAAGCTCAAGGCCTCCCAGATGGGGCCGGAGCAGATGGGGTCGGAGGATCGCGCCGCACCGCCGATGCATCTCCGATGCGGATCGATGTGTAGCCCGATTTGCTTCACGTCAACGTCGCCGATGCATTGGCGATGTCGACGTTGCATGGCCGGTACATCGCCGATGTATCGGCGATGCGGCGCGATTCTCCGACCCCATCTACTCCGACCCCATGTAGGCGGCCTCTAGAAGCACCCCTGATTCTTAGAAGGCGGGGGCCGGCGCCTTCTAAGAAGAAGTCTCCTGCTAAGAGGTTTGCCCACCATCCCCTACCCACCAGTGCTCGCCGCCAATCTGAATCCTGAGTCTCTTTTGACAGCCCGCTTGCCCAGCAGAGGCAGGAAGGAGCAAGCAATAGTCTACACACGAACGCAACGAGACACGCCCGCCAGGTCCTCTTCACGGGCGCGAGGAGGTCAGGGTCCATGGGATCGCGCCTTTGTATCCAGACCGCGAGAGCACTGGACGTGGTAATGCTCCCCACCCGTGAGTCGAAGAAACAGTTGCAGAACCATGCACTATCGGGGCTCCGCTGGGATGTATTGGATCTACGTTGGACCCCCCCTGCGCGGCGCATGAGGCGCCGCCTCTGGCGCGCTCCTCACGCCCCCAGAGACCAGGAAACAGGTAAACCAGGACACGGGAAACCAAATACACAACACCTTTTCTTGCAACGTCACAGTTTTCAGCACCTGTGTTTTTTTTTGTTTGCTGCACTGCAGGATTCGGGTTTGTGTCCGGGTTTAGGGGGTCTTTCAGATTTTTGGGGCCTGTGTCCGGGTTCATTCTGGAAATGCCACAGGTTGGGAAGTCGGGGCGTGAGTGCACCGAGCTCTTTGGCCAACCAGACAGCCTGGAGCATACGTCTTTCCCTTCCCAGGGATCCATCTTGGCACGTGCCCGAAAGATTCCGCAGACCCTGGTATTTATCGACATGATGTTTTCGATCCGCGGCCGTAGAGATCCCGACCTTTTCCCCGGGGGTAGTTACTCGTTCTGGGGTTATGTTTGACTGTCCCGAGACACGAAAACGCCCCGCAGAGGGCTGACCGAGAGGAAAACCCGCCGGTCGAACACACCATATGAGCGACGCAATACAAACATGGTATTCGAGTGCGTCGACAATCCTGCGTAAGGTCGCGTGTGAGCGCCCTCGTTTCCAATGCAGCGTGCCGCGCTGGCGGCCCGCGTGAGCCACCGCGTGAGGCCACCATACAGCCCGGCGTAGGTCCCGCTTCTCTTCTCTAGGTCTCCCAGATGGGGTCGGAGGTCGGAGCAGAGTGGGTCGGAGGATCGCTCCGCATCGCCCATCCGCCGACGATGCGGCTCGGTATGCAGCCATACTTTCTCCACGTCTATGGCGCCGATGCGTTGGCGATGCGACGCGATCCCGGGACCCCATCCATGCAGGAGGCCCCTCTGCTCGTCGTCGCTCCACATCGCCAGAGACCGTGGGTGGGACGCTGATGTGCCCCCAGACGGCATCTATACACCACCACCGTGTTTTGCGGGCAATGTCTTTATCCACATCCAGTGCGTCTTGGAGTTTCGGACACTCTTCCCAAGAAACATGAGGCGCACTGGATATGGATTATAATCTGCCTCCGAAAGGCTCAATTTTTATCCATATCCAGTGCGCCTCGGCCTTGCGGCGCCCCTTCCAAGAAAGTCCAAGACGCACTGGATATGGATATAAATATTGCCCGCATGTTTGGCCAGGGCCATCCTGGGCACCACTGGTGTATACGCCCTGCTGGCCTCGACCAGGAGGGCGTATACACCATGCCAGGGCCCAGGCCGGCCCTGGCCAGCCACGGTGGTGGAGTAGAGCTCACCACCCACCAGCCCGCCCCGACCCTGCCCGGAGGCCCCGATTTGCCATCCATTTCCAGTGGGGTGGGTGGGTTGGGGAACATCGAAAAGACAACCCCTCCCAACCCAACCCCCCCAACCCCAGTGGAGGAGTGGAGGGGGGGCCGGGGAACATTGAAAAAACACCCACACTCGAAGTCCGCCCCCCCCCCCCTCCCAACCCGAACTTCGGATCTTCGGGTTGCGCCCGGGTGGTTCGGCAGGCAGTCCGCAGCTGCCCTCTGCGTGCCGTGCCCCCCGGGAGCGCCGGCGAGGCCAAGGCCGGGGCGGCCGCCGCGGAGGCGCCGCCGCCCGCCAAGGCCGCGGCCGCTGCCGCGCCGCTCGCGGCCGCGGCCCCCGCGGCGGCGGCCTCCGCGGCCGCCCCCGCGGGCGCGGCCGCCGCGGCGGAGGCGGCGGCGGCGGAGGCCCAGGAGCTCGCCGCCGCTGGGGCTCGAAGCATCGGGGGGTGCAGCGAGGGGGTCCCGAGGGACGGGGTCCTGAGGGACGAGGTGCCTCAGACAGCCTGGATCCATCCTTGGATCCCTTCTTGACCTCAGGACCTCATCTCTCAGGACCCCATCTTCGAGCTAATTGTTCTTTCATCTATAAAAAAACGCCATACACGCAAACTCGAGCTGCGGCATGCTCGAGCCTTACGTTTTTCTGACTGAGGAGCGACCGCGGCTCTTCGAAGAACACAACAGGCATGCACATAAACTTCTGGCGCTCCGCGCGGATTGCTTGGATCCGCGCTGGGCCCCCCCTGGCGGCGCCTCTGGTGCCCCCCCTGGCGCGCTCCGCGCGCCAGTGAGGAGGGTCAAGCGTGGAGAGTTTCTCCGATGGGCTTAGGCGACCCGTCCCGCCTCCTCCTCCTCCTCCTCCTCCTCCTCCTCCTCCTCCTCCTCCTCCTCCTCCTCCTCCTCCTCCTCCCTCGTCCTCCTCCCACTCTTCCTCCATCTTCTCCTCCCCCTTCCCCTCTTCCTCCATCTTCTCCTCCCCCCACCTTCTCCTCCACCTCCTCCTCCTCCTCTTCCCCCTCGGGTCGCCTACGGCCCTGGGGGAAACCGTGCAGTCCAGCGTAGATCTAAGACATCCGCACTGAGCGCAAACAATGTTTGTTAATGCCATTCTTTCTGTTTCTGCTAAGAGTCGCGGTCGATCCCCAGTCAGGGAAACGTAAGAATCGAGCATGCGGGAGCTCGGGTTCGCCTACGTTTTCTGACGAGCGCGTTCCGGATCATTTGACGTTTCCATTCTAGTGGGATGGATGCTTGCAGCAGGAGTTCATGTCAAAATTCTGATTGGGTCTCGTCATTTTCACAATGGACCCGTGAGGCGAACCCGAGTCCCCAGAACTCGAGTCTTACGTCACCCCAGGCCAGGATCCATTACGATCCTGGTGGGTCCGATTCGATATCGATTCTGGGCGGCCCGGCCGGATTCGGTTCCGATGTTTCGGCGATCCGATGCGGCGCGATGCTTGCACTGATAGTGGCGTTTAGCATCCCGGCGTTTCCGATCCGATTTGACTTCGATTCCGTGCCGATGCAGCACGGTCCGACGCGCATTTCGGTCCGTTCCGATTCCCCGATTCGATGTTGGTTGATGCTGCGCCCAGACCTCCAATGCGCTGGAAAGGTCAAGGCGGAGGTATTTCGCCGACTTCGGCGTCCAGAGGCCATCGCCAGATCCCAGGACCTTCAACAAGGGGCTCAGGGTCAAAAGCTGGTCCCTGGGAGGAGGTGGAGAGTTCCGTGGACCCCGTATGGGACGAGATCAAGACATCGGATTTTTGGGGAGGTTCGGAATCTCCGGGCGCTTCGTGGGCTCCTGGAGACTTTCCAGCCTCGGGATGCATCACAGCAGCTGCGCCTCGGTGAGAGCGTTCCGAACGGCCGCCCGAGGCCCGAGTTGTGGCCCGAGGTCTACATCACCCAGCGTCGTAAAATCACGACCGCAGGTTTGTCGTGTTTTTTTCGGCCTCCAGGGAGCCTCACACGGGCCCCAGAGGTTCCCAAAAACAGCTGGGCATGAGATTCCAGAGGTTCCAGAGGTTCCAGAGGTTCCAGAGGTTTTTCGTGTTTTCGGCCTCCAGGGAGCCTCACACGGGCCCCGGAGGTGCCCCGAAAACAGCTGGGTGTGAGGAGCCGGCCCTGGCGCAGGGGTCCAGGGCCGGGGCAGTGCACCCTGCGAGAACCGTGACGACGCCGGATGTGTGTCGGGGGTGGACAGAACCCCCAGCAGTGACACGTCGATTAGCGAATGGTCCGTTTTCGGCTCTCGAGAGGGCGCCGTGGCCGTTATTTTCCAGGCTTGCGCACGCCAGGTTTGGGCCTCGGGTCGTTTTCACTAAACCACGTTTTGCTAAAGGGGGGTCTGTCCATCCCCGAGTGTGGGCAAGGAGATGCTCACCAAGATGCACGACATGGTGCGACGGCAGGAGGAGCTCGTCAGCACCCTGCGAAAGCTCTCCGCTGAGCTAAAGGGCTGACCAGGCGCTCGGCGGTTTCCAAAGCGGCTGCCTGATCATTTCGATGCGCACCAGTGGCTCGCCTTCTGTCTCGCCCCTGCACTTGGCACGAGCGTGTCGCGCCCTCGGTTCGACTCGACTCGATCCTGCTTGATGACGCGATGCCTCCCTTCCTCGCCCGCATCCCTCCAGAATCACCTCATACTCCCGCCTCCCCTCCCCTCCCATCTCTCGAAGAAGAACACGCCATGCACGCAAACTTTTGGCGCTCCGCGGGGATTTCTTGAATCCACGATGGGCCCCCCCTCCCTGGCACGCTCCGCGCACCAGGGAGGGAGGCTTAGCGCGGATCCAAGAAACCCGCGCGGAGCGCCAAAAGTGGTATGTTTACATGACGCTCGTTCGTCCAATCTCTCCTCCTCTCTCCCCCGTTTGTCCCCCCCGTCCCTTCATTCACCCGTGCTGCGGGTCGATCTTCAACGCCATGCTGTGCCACGTAATGCTGTGCCATGCTGGCAGATCCGACTGCCAGAATAGAGTGGAGATCCACGCCATGGGAAGGGATGGGAGGGAGGGAGGGGACGTTGGATATGACGCGAGCGCACCTGGCTTGCCTTCCTCCCCCTCCCCCTCCCCCCTCCCCCTCCCCCCTCCTTCTCCCCCTCCCCTCCCCTCCCCCCCCCCCCTCCCCCTCCCCCCTCCCCCTCCCCCCTCCTTCTCCCCCTCCCCCTCCCCCTCCTCCTCCCCCCCCCCTCCCCCTCCCCCTCCCCCCCCCCTCCCCCCCCCCCTCCTCCCCCTCCCCCCTCCCCCTCCCCCCTCCCCCTCCCCCTCCCCCCCACCCCCCTCCTCCTCCTCCTCCTCCTCCTCCCCACGAGCCTTCGGCCCGGCCCCCAGGGCCGAGAGACGCCGGGCAGGCCACAGCCCGGCGCGACCGACCAGCCGCTCCGAGGGGGCCCGATGCGCCACGCGCTTATCAGAGCCCCACATCATCAGGGGTAACTCGGGTCAGGGATAACTCGGGTTCGTTTTTCGGGAATCCAAACCCGAGTTACCCCGGACCCGAGTTACCCCGGATAACTCGGGCGTCCAGAGCCCCCGGTTACCCCGGACCCGAGTTACCCCGGATAACTCGGGAATCCCCCCGGACCCGAGTTACCCCGGATAACTCGGGCGCCCAAGCTTATGGGGCAGGTCGAGAGCTGCTCCGCCACGCGCAGAGGGGGGGTGGTCACCACCCACCAAGCCACCCCAACCCAACCCGAAGGCTCAGATTTGCCCTCGATTTCCAGTGGGGGGGGTCCGGGAACATCGAAAAAACACATATGGAGCCCATACCCCCCCCGAATCCGAAATTCGGGTCTTCGGGTTGGGTTGGGGTGGTCTGGTAGGTAGTCAGAGGGGGGGTGGGCCATCAGGTTTCCCCAGGCTTCATGGCGCCTCTTCCTAGTTCATCACGTCCCTGGCCCCCCCGCTGGGCCGCGCACGTGCCGCCAGTCACGATTTACACCCCTCCCTCCTCTTGGACACACCCCCCTCTTGGCCGCTCCCGATGTGTGGAACATGTGCAGCGGCCAGATCTCAGGGTGGGGGTCTACGCGTCGGGCGGGGCTAGGAGGAGGATAAATCCGTTTCAGCCACGCACAGAGGGGGGTGGGGGGAGGGGGGAAGGCTTCTTAGGAGCACCCCTGCTTCTTAGAAGGCGCGGGCCTTGTCTATGGATGTAGGGCCGGCGCCTTCTAAGAAGCAGCCTCCTTCCAAGAAGCCCTACCCCCTACCCCCACCCCCTTGTGCGCGCCGCCAAACTGCACCACCGTCGGGATCCCGCAAAAGGTGTGTGTGTGTGTGTGTGCCCCACTTCGGCATCGCTCGGACGTGTGCATTTGTCCTGGCGAGAACCATCGAGGACCATCGAGCAAAACAAAAAAGCACGCAGGAGACCGACAAATGCACGGGAGATGGACGTCCGAGCGACGGCCAGCCCAGGGAGTGTGTGAGTTCGAACGGGTTTCGCACCGGACCGCCCCAAAATAGGTGCCCACCAGCCGCCGACAGCTCCCGATCGTTGCCGGTAGGTGGGGCATGGGGGGGCATCTGTTTGCGGCAGTTCGGTGCACCAGCGGATCGAACTCATGCCCCCCCCCCTCAGGGTCACCCCTCTTTAGCTGGATCCCAACACCGCGCGAGTGTCCGCTCAGAGGGTCTGATCGGACGAATGGGTGGGGGATCTGGCTAGGGCATCCACGAGGGTGTGAAGCCAGTCGCGCCTCGCGGCCTGGGCGACTGCAGAGTGAGGCGCGAGTTCCCCATCCTGTTCCGGGGAGGGGGGGGAAAGGGAGGAAAAACCGTTCGGACCCGACAATTGACATTTACGAAACGGTCCTGGGCGTGTACAAACAGCCCTGCCCTGTACGATTACTCCCTCGGGTGCGTTTACTAAACGGCTTCGCTTGTCGGGGTGATTCTTATGGGGGGGATGTTCTGCCCTCTAGGGGGACGGCGCGAAATCGCGAAGATTGTCGTGCGCTGCGCGGAGCGCGGGGCGCGCAGACGTATGGCGCTCCGCGCGGAGTGCTTTGATCCGCGCTGGGCCCCCCCCCACAAGCTGGAGCCGCCCCTGGCGCGCTCCGCGCGCCAGGGAGGGGGGCCAGCTCAGATCCAAGAGAGCCGCGCGGACCGCCAAGAGTTTTTAAGTGTATGCCGTGGTTTCTTCTTCGTTAGGGAGGGTTCGGTGACAACTCGTGGGAGCCTCCCATACCAGCTTGTCGGTCCCTTGCGAATCGACACTGATCGATGTTCTTTGTTCCTCAACTTTACCCCCCCCCCCGCCCCCCCCCCAAGTCGTGTGACTGGAGAGGGGTGCCGCGGCGCCCCTGATCTCCGACGACGTGTCCTGTGTCCTTTCCGGGGGAGCCTCTTTTTTTCTGTTACGTTGCGCCCTCGAGGGCGCGCCGTCCTTTGCGCTTCGCGATTCGGCTACGCTTCGAAGTAGTGCAGCGCGAGGCGCCAAGGCCAGGCACCCCTGTTTTGTCGACCGCGGGCTGTCTCTGTGCAGCACACTTCGCTCCAACGGCATCCCAGTTGAAGCCAGCGCAGTCACCCTCTGCCTGGCCGCCGACGCAACAAAAAAAAGTCTCTGCACGGCCCCGGGGCCTGGCGGCGATGAGGGCCGCGTGGCGGGAACCAGTCAGCACAGCGCCCTGCCGTCGCGCGCCTGGCTCGTCGCAGCGCGGGGAGGGCTGCACTCCGGGGGGGCCTATGGCCCGTGCCGCTCAAGTGTGGGCAAGAAAGAGTTGGCATGATAAGAAACGATTCCGGAGTTTAGAAGCCGGCCCCGGGGAAGAGGTCGGGACTTCCAGGGGCCCCGTGTTGAATACATCAGGGCGTCGCGTTTTTGGTATCGGGGCATCGTAGCGCATCACCGATGCATCGGCGAGGCGGCGCTCTCCTCCGACCCCATCTTCCGACGGTGCGGCGCGATTTTCCGACCCCACCCACGCCTCTTCCGCACAAGTGGGTACTGTTGGATGCCCAGACTCAATGTACTCCTCAGACGCTGTTGTATCTCATGAGCTGGACGGCTTCCCTCCTTCCTCAGAGGCGGGCGAACGCCTAACTTGCTTTCAGCTCCTGCCTGCTTCATGCTTCGGCTCAGGAGGGAAAAAAACACACATACGCGGTGAATCGTCGACTCCCAAGGAAAATAATGGGAAACAGAGGAAGTGGGGTGGGGGAACACGAAATTCCACAAAAGATATCAAAATATCGAGAATCCTGGGATTCGTGTCTATTGATTTGTGTGTCCCTGGGCCGATTTGTCGGCTTACTTCTCCCGAGCGATGGGTACCGCTCCGGAGGTCCTCACGCAGTTCCTGGATTTAGGTCGGGCATGTCTTCCGACAGGCGCATATCGCAGGACAAATAAGACATAACGTACAAAATCAACACAAATATATCCAAGCATGCTCAAACCCATGGTGTCCTGCCTATTTTTCTTTGTTTCTTTTGATATGCCTCCCGTAGAGGACGTGCCCGATCTAACCCTGGATCGGCGCTGGGCCCCCCTCCCTTCTGGCTGTAGCGCGCGAAACGCGCGTAGGGGCGGGACGCTGGAGGCACCTCCAGGAGGGCCCCAGTGTTAGCTCGGGCGTGTCCCCCTACCGGCGGATTTTGGACGAAGAGTTTGTGAAAAGTGAAAAGTATTCAAAACCTTCTTGAGCATACATGTTAACATCATAAGAAAACACATGTTTTTTGGATTATTTGTGAATAGTCCCCCTGTGAAGGAACATGTCCGACTTAACCCCAGTGCCGATCCGAGAAATCTGCACGGAGTTCCAAGAGCTGCTCCGAACGAGGGGTGCTCCGACCCCACCTGGGCGGCCTCCACTGAAGAGTGTGATTGCTGGGACACCCGTTGTTTCAAACGCAGGGTCATCGCTGGTATATGCGTCCTCGAGCGCCGGCCGGATCCAGAATACTCTGACTCAATTTCGATTCAGGCCCGTTGGATATTGGGCTGAACCTTCGGCTCGATGTGGGCTAACCTGGACCAGTGGCTTGCCAAACGGGCTTGCCACCATGAGCTGACAACTAGCACACATACGGCAGGTTCGTGTCGTGTCGACCGGCGGCGACCCTGCCAGTGGCGTTCAACCTTGAACGCCGCGGGCGACCCAGAATCGTTCGATGTGGAACGATTTGGACGTTTCTGAAATGGCCGATCGTTCAAGGTTGAATGATCCCCGAGGTGTCAGGAACCAACGCCGGGGTCGACACGACACGAACCTGCCGTACTTACTGGACCCCGACCTCTCTCGGGATGTGAATCTTGGAGGACTGTTGGTACTATTGGATGTGAGCCCCCGCTCGAACGGGAGCCCCCCCCCTCGGGGTCCGACAGCTCGCACCGATACCCCATGAGTACAGCGCCTTCATCGTCGTTCCGTTCCCCGTTTCTCAACCTGTAGGTGTCAGGGCGTTTCGTTCCCCACCATCATCATCATCATCATCATCATCATCAT